AGCTGTTTGCTAATTTTAGCTTTTGTTCTGCTACATTTAGCTGGCCTCTTTCTGTTGTTAGCTTTTAGTGAGCTTTTTGCTCATTAAGTGTTTAACTACTGTCCTGCCACATTTAGCTTTTAGCTAGCTGTTTGCTAATTTTAGCTTTTGTTCTGCTGCGTTTAGCTGGCCTTTTGCTACTTTTAACTTTTAGTAAGTTTTTTTGCTAATTTCGCCACTGTAACTGCCACATTTGGGTTTTAGCTAGCTTTTTGCTACGTTTAGCAAACCTTGTTATGTTTAGCTACCCTTTGAATGTTTTTTTAACTAACTTTTAGATGTGTAGCTAGCCTTTTTTTCCTCCTTTTTTTTTAGCTTCTATACATTTTTCTGCTCCTTTAAGCTTTTAGGTAAAGTCTTTATACATTAGCTGTTAGAAAATGTGGTAGTTTTAGCTTTTAGAGCCAGATTAATGTGATCTTGATCAATATTTTCTCAGAGTTTCTGCTGTTTTCACATTTATTTTCTGTCCGGTCTTTGTAAACTATGATCAAAGAAATGCTCGAGCTGTACTGTTTTTATTATTGAGCATGCTTCAGGATGTTTTTATTATTATTATTAGCCATCCATCCATTATCTTTTACCGGCTATTATTGTTTACAAAATGCCACTATTTTTTATTTAATTGTTTTTAATATCATTTTCGTGTCAACTAAATCAGCAGGTCTGCCATTTTCGGAGGCGCTCGTCGCTTCCGCCCGCAGCACGCCAGGAAGGAAGTGGAGGAAAACGGAGCAATCGAGCTGAAGCAGGCGAACCAGGGCTAACATCGCTCAACTCGTCTGGACTATTCGGGCTAACTTTAGCTACATGTGCTGAGGTCGATCCCAACTGCAACCATGCCCACAGTGACTCTACCGCCGAAGGAAAACGCGCTGTTCAAGAGGATTCTGGTGAGTTAACCGTCGCGGAGCCGACGGCCGCCGACTTTAGATGCTTTTCGTCGGGGCTCAGTTGACAGCGGCTCCCCGTTAGCCTCGCAGCCCGTTAACAAGATGGCATCATTGAATGGGTCAGGTAGCTCGGCCTTAATCTGCGCTGTCACTGTCCAGCCGAACCGTTTCTCCTGAACCTGGCTGGTATTTAAAAATAACGCCCAGTCTGAGTAATACACGGCCGAAAAATGCACGTTTTTTATTTGACGAAACGAAAAGAGTTGAGAAGAAGTCAGCGGCGGGCCACGGCCCTTCATGTCGTTTTCGAGCAGCCTCCGTGAAGCTAACTGGTTAGCCACATTTTACAGGCGTGTGTCGCGTGAAGTTAGCTCACATGTTTCCAACTTATCGCCTTGCTTGTTCAGATTTATTGTTGTTTTCTGCTTTATTCGCTAAATAAGGCGCAGATGTAATGACCAGGGTGTGTTTAATTGTACCTAACTAGACTTGTGCTAACGCATTTTGGCTGTTTCACGTTTCTTAATCGGCTAACCGTATAGCAGGCCGTTTTGACATATAATCAAAGCACATTGTTGCACTAATAAAAATACAAAATAAATGTCTCCACTACTGAAAGAGCATTAGAAAGAACTGTTAAGATATCTGAAATGCTTAAAAGATTTTAGTGACCTTTTTTTTTTTTTTACATTTATTATCTAAATTGTATCACATGAAATGTCCATAATTCAGTTCTTCCCATTCATGAACTCTTTTTGGAAGAAATATCTTTGTCTACAGCCAACATTTCCAATATCTCAAACTTAATTTTATGTTTAGCGGACGGTAATGTTATAACATTTATATCACAATTCAGAAGGCTTTCATGGGATTTATAAAACAGTTTTCGATGCATTTTGATTATCTAGAATCTTATGTGGCTGTGGCTTTTTTTTTAGTTATAAACACTGCTTTATATATTTTCATGCCTTTTATTAAGAGTGCATAATATGTTAGAAAATAATACTGTAATCATTCGGTATAGATGGTGGTGCAGAGGTTAAGGAAGGCCTCTGATCGGAAGGTCACCTTTTCCACACATCAAAAATGTGGGTGGAAAAGGTGAAGCACCCACACCTGCATCCACCTTCATTTGCCCCACTTTTGGTCTTTAAGCAACCCCCACCATCTGCTCCCAAACAGGTCTCTCTTGAAAATGAGTCCCCATGACTCAATGAGACTACCTGTATAAATAAAGGTTAAATAAAAATGCAAACTTAACATTGAAAACAAACACCATTGAAAATCTAGCATGATTAGCGTTGCCTAAATTTATAAACAAATCGAATGTTTCAAAGTAATTACTAATGGCAGTCATGCTACGATAACTTCAACTTTACCTTAAAGACAGATTTTTTGGTGGAAAAAGATACAAAAATACAGTTTCACTGCAACGTGTTTCAAATACAGGAAGCTACGGCAACTCTACTGGGACAAACTGCACTGCATACCTACCCTAAAAGGAACAGCACAGGCTATTGTTAACAAATTGATTTTTGACTTTTGGAAACTGATTCAGAATCTATATAGCTTGCTGCCACAAATGCAAACCAGTGTAGTTATCCTAGTTTAGAGGGCTGTCAGTCTAAACAGAACAAAGTTGGTTTAGACAAGTTGTGTGTGCACGTGGTGTGCAATGAGAGCTGTATGACCGTGTCAGCAAATCTAGCTGCTTTCAGCCCATCCATCCATTTGTTCTGCTCCATGCCTGATTTCTTCTGCACTTGTCGTATGGTGTATTTAAATAAGTCCGGGTTGAATCTAGTCACATTCAGGCATGACCAAGCAGTTTGAGCTCACTGCATGTCAACCAAATCCTTTCTACCTCCTCCTTGCCTTTTTAAAAAATGTATTTATGCGTTCATCACTTTCACTGCGGGTGCGCTCACTGTGGTTACACACTTTCCAAGAACCACAGTGGGCAGGTAGTCGTCATTAGCCGGTCTGGATAAACAACACAGTTGTGAAGGGGCCGGGGTTCTGCTGGGAACCAGAGGATGTTTATCTGAAAGTTGGCTAACGAGTTGGTTTCCAGTCACTCAACGACTAGCTTCGTAAACAACCAGTCACCCACACGAGTCTTAGCTCCGCACCTTGTCAGGGTGCTGTTTGGTCACTGGCAACACTGGTGAGTTCTGTGCTCAAATCTAACTCAATAATTTTGTTTGTATGAACTTATTTTCTTCTGGAAATCAAGAATGTGCAGAAGCCTTGGGCTTGTCATTTCTCATTTTGTTTTCAAATAACCAGACTATCTTTAAATGTATTTAAAGTTATCTTGTTTTGTTTTTCTCCTGAAAGGGTTTTTCTTTTTTTAAAAAAAGTTTTCACCTACCTGACTGGTTCCATAGTGAACACACCTGCAAACCTCTGTACATTGTAATAAGTACAATAAATAAGTTAGTCTGTCATGGCTAGGTTGTACCTGTTGTACTTTAGTCAGGTTATTTTTCAACAAGTACCTAACATTAGGCTTTATATCAATCCCCAAATATTCAAATCCCGACTCAGACCAAGAAAAGGGGGAAATGGAAGGCCGGGGGGTTCATCAGTAAAACCAATTGGCATCGCTCGTGATTTATCCAAGTTGATTTTATAACCTGATAATGAACCAAACTCTTTAATAATAGACATTAGTGCTGGTAAGGACTTTTCCGGTTTTGATATGAAGAGGAGTACATCATCAGCATACAATATTATCTTATAGAATATCAAGTCTGTTGAGAGTCCCGTTATACTATTATTGCTTCTTATAGCCTCAGCCAATGGTTCTATGGCTAGTGCAGATATCAAGGGGGACAGTGGGTCTCCTTGTCGGGTAGATCTTTCCAAAGAAAATTCTGAAGAACTAGCACCATTAATCAACACGCATGCCTTAGGTGAAAGATAAATAAGCTTAACAAAATTTATAAAGGCCTCCCCCAATCCAAATCTCTCTAAGGCCTCAAATGAATAAGGCCATTCCACCCGATCAAAGGCCTTCTCTGCGTCGAAGGAAATAATAAGCCCTCGTAGATTATTTACTGTAGAATACTGGATAAGTAATTTTCTCATGTTTGTGAAAGATGTTCTACTTTTAACAAAGCCAGTATGATCAGATTTGACTAAGAGGGGTAGGAAATTTTCAAGTCTTTTAGCTAGAATCTTGGAAAAAAATTTGCTGTCAACATTGATTAGGCTAATTGGTCTATAGGAGCCACACTCATCGGGGTTTTTTCCTTTTTTAAGAATCAATGAAATATTTGCTGTATACAGTGACCTTGGTAGAGAATCCATCACTGCTGAATGATGGTACATATTTAATAGAGGGATTTTTAGGGGATCCTTTAGTATCTTATAGAATTCAGGGCCATACCCACCTGGACCAGGAGCTTTTCCATTTTGTAAAGTATGAATTACCTTTATAAGTTCCTCCTCATGTATAGGCCTTCACAATGTGGCCCTATCAGGCTCAGATAAAGAGGGAAGTTTAATTTGATCAACAAATGTTTCTATGGCTTGACTAGGGGAGGCCAACTCAGAGGTATAAAAATTATTAACCTTGTCGTTACCTCCACCAGCGACTTGGTCTCGTAGTGGTTTCTCCCATTGACATCTTTTAGACTATTAATAACTCCATGTTCCCTTCAACCAGCAGCTAATAAGTTAGTCCGTCATGGCTAGGTTTGTCAATTCTGTTTGATCACGTTTATTTAATGGTTCAGTGATCGTTTGGAATAAAAAGCAGAAGTCTCCTTCAGCAGTTTGAATGAAGCTAACAGACTTTTTACATTCGTACACATGTTTTCACTTTATTTTTTATAGGTATTCCTCCGCGGCTATGGTTAACTAGCATCAGCTGATTAGCTCAAGGCCGCGTGTCTCATTTTGATAAACAACTGTTGACAAATGTTGTGCAATGCGTTGTAAACCCAGCATTTATATTGATTTATAACATAACAAAACAGTCACGGTCATGATTGATGCTTAACATGAACCAAAAAAAAAACCTGTAAAATTAGTATCAGAATAATACACAATAGAGGCCAAGGACTTAGTTAAGTTATTATAAACTCGCCTCTATGATAAAATATAAGCTCCAAGTCGTCTTTCTTAGTAAGAACAAGTTTTCCATAAATTGGTGGAGTTTTGTGGCGTAAATGAGAAGAATGAGCCGTAGATTTATCGTTATCGGCCATTCTGTGATGAGTTGGTGAAATCTGAGACGGTTTCCTCTCCCTGCTCCTGCCAGCGGTGCATCCAGCCTCGCCTTCTTCCTGCTTTCTCCGAGTGGTTCCACAAAGCATCAGAAAAGACTGGCAGCGCTCCAGCTTTCAATAATATGCAGTTGATTGAGTTGTTGTTGTTGTTGTTGTTTTTTTTAATTACTTTTTATTTTCCGTGGTGGAAAGACGTTCTTTTCAGTCCTCGTTTTATTATTTGCAGGCGTTGAAGTCAAATCGCATTTTCCTTCACAAATCAGTTCAGATGAGTGAACTCCATATGAGAGAAAACAGCTTGTGTTAAAGAAATTGTTTTTTTCCCATTAATTTACTAATAACCAATAATAATAAAGCACCTCACTACATTACAACACTAAGTGGTAGCCCATAACAACAGAGGTAAATAGGTTTTAAAAATAAAACTTAGTGTTAATATGAAACAGAGTTATAAAACGACTGGTCAAAAACTCATTATGTTGGTGTTTATTATGTTCGAGTTCCCCCTGCTGGAGCCGTTAAATGTAAAGCAGTGCAACCAACCTTAAACGCCAACTAAAAATCATTCAGACGTAATAAAACAAAACTGGTTTCAAGTGGGTCAGGGTAGAATTCTTTTTATTTTTTTAAACAAAGGACTAAAATAATTCAGATTTATTCCTGTTTGGTGCAGCCCTTCTGTTAGTTTAGAACGTTTTTATTTACCCGAAAGAAAAAGTTGGACCGTAGTGTTTTCGTCTGTTTGCTACCAAAAATATTTCTTGAAACATTTGTAATCATTGAAGATGCAACTGATCAACCTATATCTAGATTACTGTCGCTGCTCATCAGGATTAACCAACACAAAAATGGCTGTGCCTCAGTTGAGGTGTTCAGATAGAATCTCTGATGTGGTAGTAGTTGAGGGTCACCCCCGACACATACCCTATTTTCCGCCGTACCCGTCGCACCGCCCTATAAGTCGCAAAAACGTCTAATAAAGTGGAAAAATCCATAAATATGTTGCATCTATTATGTCACCGCTGACGACCCGGAAATGTGGGCCGGTGTGCCAAAAATCAAACGGCATGCACGGGAGGGCTTTAACAAGAATTTAACAAGATTAACACTTAAAAACAGTTATTTGTTTGCTCGAAATTATAATAAAGGTGTGTCTCAGTGTAACTTTTCCTTAATAAATAAACTTTGATGGTGAAATCGGCTGCATTTTCAAAAGCCGATACGCGGAAACAGGAGCGCGCAGAGGGCGACTCGCTGTGCGTTTCTTCGACATTTAACAAGATAACCACCTAAAACAATTGTTTGTTCATTTTAGCAAAGGTGTGTCTCAGTTGAACTTTTACTTTTCGTTCATTTAACATTTATTTATACAGTTAATCCCACTGAGCCTCAGGGACTCATTTACAAGAGAGACCTGATAAAATTAATAAATGCACTTCGATGGTCAAATCAGCTGCATTTCGCCAGGGCGGTGCAGCGAAATGAAGCTGATTTGACGTTTGCTCCGGGCGAGCTGGACGAAGGTGGCAACGATAGCAAGCAGACTGTGTCATTAATAGCCACGTTTTCCCTATTACATGATGCAAGAGCATGCCATACTACTTGAGTGCCATCTAGCGGCTGAAAATGGTAGTGTTCAATATTTTCCGTCAGAATGAATGAAAACGGTCATATCTCAGCCAAAAATTGGTTTATAAATATTGGGAAAATCCATAAATGTGTTGCTTTGCTGTATAAGTCACAATCATGCTAATTTATGAAAAAAAAAAAATGCGACGTATACAGTGAAAAATACGGTCCTTTGAATGTGACAATGCATTATCCCATAAAACGGCCAATAACGTTATTTTCAAGGTTTGCTCTAAACAGTTGGGCTGAAACTCTGTCATGTAAAGTGGTTGTCTACATTCCTTCAAGCAGTGCTAGGTGTTCATGGTTTTTATTAAAGACAAAACGACGTGTGCTCTTCTGAACATAAGCACCTGAGGTGTAAACTGAAATCCAACTAAATCGTGGCTAATAATTCTACGTTCACCAGGATCAAGTTTAGAGTGGAAGCTCTTTAGTAAAATAAAAAAATCTACAAGTTGTAACAGAGTTTTCTCTCATTGCTGACTTGAACGCCGTGCAAAAGAAAAGTGATGTCGGCGTTTGGAACGAGCTCTGAAAAGTTTGATCCAAACCAAACTCGTGCGGCGAGCCCCGCGGCCTCGAGCCACATGCTCCGACAGATTCTGTGCGCAGCTCGACTGGGTGTCGAGTTATTTCGGTGGAGAGCGTGCCGGGCGGGCACAGCTGGTGGCGTTACTGTTGCTAAATTTAAACATACAGATGCTTGCACACCACATTTGTTTTAAACATTTGCTAATTCATTCACGAGCCGTCGTCTTTTATTGGCGCAGTCAAACCAGATGTGCAACTTTTTTTTATTAACGCATTGTTTTAAACATGACTCAGAAGTTGAAGTTTTAAGAACTTTTAAAAAAAATATCAGGAATGTGGAATGTCGGCTTTACTGGTTTTCACTTTTCTTTGCATTCTTCTTCTTTTTCTTAACGCACACCATCCAGTTCCAACACTGTGGCTCGTGCTTCATTCGTTCCATTTGCTGCAAGTTGTTGTGGTGATGTTTGCGTTTAAATCACTTTTCTTGGCTAATACTCCCGTTCTGTGCACACACTGAGCTTAATGTGTTAAAAATATGACCATCTAATGTAGGGGTGCGAATCTCTGCGTCTGGCGATTCGGTTCCGGTTTTTGGTGTCACGTTTCAATTAAAGCGATTTTTTTAATTGAAATGGTTATAAATTTTGTTTATGTAACTGACGAGCTGAAAAGATTAAGCAACAATGTAAACAAATAGAACATTTATTTAAAACAATAATTTTATGTACTTTACTGTATCAAATCTTTTTGCATCCTTTTATATTTATACCAAAAATAGGACAAACTATAGGAGTGCATACAATTCTGTAACGTAAATTACCAGTGTTGGTTAGCTTAGCTGCCTGGATTTTTCTTAAAAAATAAAATAAAAATCTACGAACAAATAATCCCTCCATCATCTTAACCCACTTCTTCCTTTTACGAGTCACTGGTATCACTGGTATCACTGGTGCCCATGTCCATCCATCACAGTGTGAGAGGCGGGGACACCTGGACAGGTCTCCAGTCCATCACAGACAAATGATTCAAAATATATAAATATAAAAGCTTCAGCCTACCAGTATATTAACCTTTAACTCAACATAAAATACAGACTTCACAGTTATTTTTAACCATATTGCTCTAACATTTGTTATATTTTCAAAACTTAACCTAATATGAAATATACAGACTTCACAGTCTTAACCGTATTGATTCATATTTAATAAATCTTTAACAAAATTTCAAAACGTGCAAATCTGTGCAAAACCTCTTCTGAACTATAATTTATAAATCATAAACTGCATCATTTAGATCTGGCTCCAGTTGATGCGTCTCATCGCTTCAACCTGTTAAAAATACAAATTACATAAAGTTTCTTGTACAACTTGTCTATAAGTTTTAGTAAAATATGAGAAAAAAACAGAACTTTGAGCTGCAGCTGCATCAGAGCTTCTCCCATCCGTTGTTTCATGGTGAAGTTGCAAAGCTGCTTTATCGCCAAAAAAAAAAAAAAGCTACGTGAAGGAATAACGTCGTCCATCGTATTAAAAATAAACCTGATGTAGCAGGAGATGGAGAGGGAAATATTCGCATGGAAGTTCGTTGCAGAGTTCTCTGCTCGGCTGCTTCGCTTTCATCTTCCTCGCATTTTGTCCCATTTCCAAAAAACTGTCCCGCAGTTTTAACCAACAACCGTGCTCTTGTTAAGCTCCGTCTTCCCCCAGAACATTGTCGGATCTGAAATGATTTTTAAAGATGAAGAAGCGGGTTGAGTCGCGCCGTCCTCCATGCGAGCAGGCTCCGTTCAGATAGCTAACTTGCTGTACGGTGGCCTACACGGCCCAATTCTACGGCGGCCGAGCGGGGAGTAAGAGCGGGGGGGAAAATATAAAACGCGTTTTAAAATCGATTTATGGGCCTTTAGAAACGATTCAGAATTGCCAGGACAAAGAATCTAGATTCTTTTAAAAATAAAAATAAAATGTCTGCACCCATGGAACCAAAGGAGCTTTGTGGAAATAACTACAGCAGAAGCCAAAACCTGTCAGGAGATCTGGATCTACCATCTGCTCCTGCTCTCCATGTCATATGATTGTATAACAGTTCTCCTGCCTTGACAGCAAATTACTTAATTTTATAGCCAACTGTGGCATCCATATGTGAAGTTTGCATCCTCCCCATCATTACAGGAGCTGGTGGTGGAGCGACGCTCTGCCATCTGCCAGCTTAGCTCTTCCTCTCTGACAAAAACACACTCTCTGACAGCCACTAATCAGCTTAACAACAGTGGCGATGCACCGTTTGTTCAACTGCATCCCTAAATAAACCTTTATGGGAGAAAAGGGGCTCGGTATCTCCAATACGCCGTCAATGAAAAGACTGCGCCAACTTAGGATAATTTATATATGTGTGCACTAATTCTTCTGAATTTTATTGTGCTTTGGTCACGTCAAACTGAAAGATTACAGTGACCCTTAAAGAATTTGTGACCGCCACTGTTAAGTGCTGGCTCACTTGTTCAGCTTTACTGCTTAACTTTTGAACATGTTTGTAAAAGTCGTGCAACAATTTTTCTCAGCGAATAAGTCGCGCGTCGTAATCTTCTCTTCTGTTTTGTCGCCGGCGTCCTGGCTGCAGATGAAGGTGCAAAGCCAGCCGAGGCAGGTTTATTGTGAGCAGCACAACTATGAGCATTAAGCTTGTGCCCGGAAAAAAAAAGTTTTTCCTGCTGTTTGACCAGTTGAAAAGTTGTGACACAAGTTCTCACTGTTTTCTGTCTATGAAGCGTTTTGTTTTTCTTCGACAGAGATGTTACGAGCACAAACAATACAGAAATGGGCTCAAGTTCTGCAAACAAATTCTGTCCAACCCCAAGTTTGCAGAACATGGAGGTAAGGGGAACGTTTTGATGGTTAGAAATGTATATCTTTATTTATTTTCTGTTCTCCCTCCTGACTGTATCTCGTTCTTGCTGCAGAGACGCTGGCGATGAAAGGCTTGACCCTGAACTGTTTAGGGAAGAAAGAGGAGGCCTACGACCTCGTGAGAAGAGGTCTGCGCAACGACCTTAAGAGCCACGTCTGTATCCTTACACCTCGCACATGCGCAGGCACAGAGTCCTGCCGTACACCAGCATCATGTGGTAAAACACAGGTGTGATGCAACAGAACCTGAAGGTGCCACATGTTGTGTTGAAGGGCTCTTTTTGCAGCACATCCTCTCATTACTGCTCCATCTCTGCCTCTTTTCCTCCCACTCACAGGCCAGTGTGAAATCTGCACATTAGGAGCAGATACTCTCAGCCTAAACCCCAACACTCTGCACCTCTGAGCGCTCACGCTGCCACGTTTCAGCCTTATTGTTGTCCATGTTTGGAGCGGCAGGGGGTGTATTCACTGCTGCACGTGTATAAATCAAGCGTGATCTTTCAAAAAGCAGAATCTTAACATTTTCCAGTTAAGGTTATTTTTAATTTCCAAAGAGTTTACATGATTGTTGGTTACATGATTTAGATGTTTTTTTTTTCGTATTTATTGGATTAAAACTATAAACCCTTGAACACTTGGACCTTTTTGTTGATTTCTGTGCCGCCTTGGATATTATTGCTATCGGTTCTGTTAACGGGGCGGGGCACCCTCTTGTATAATGGTAGGGGAAACACTGACGTAGTTACGTCATGAAATTAGCATTTCATGATATAATGTATTTTCCAGGGCAAGTTTTTTTTTCTATCGGTACTGGCGTAACGCTAAGCTAGCTGCGCGCAATACTAGCTAACTGAAAAGCTAAAAACAAGCAACGTGCAGCTCAGCTGTGTCCCCTGAGCCACGGTTCCACAGTCCATGGACTAAGAACAGAGTCAGGTGATCAAAGACAGAGAATCTAAGAATCGTTCCTGCAGGAACAGAAGAAGCTGAAACACCACAAGCTTCAGGGTCAGCTGATCACCTTGTTACAAGTTCTGGAAGTTCTAGCTCATTTAAAGGAAACATATGTTTTGTTGTATGTTACATTTATGCTCAATGGCTCTTAAGCTTCATTTTATTTAGTTTTATGGGGAACTGCACCTGCACTTTAGTTTTTGTGGTGGATTTTGTTGATCTATATTTCATGCAGATTTTTTTCAATCTAAATAACAGAAGGATCTTTTTTATTTTTATACTTTGAGACTGAATACTTTACTAAATAAAGTAATTTCTGTAAAATTAACCCTTATTTTTTTTAGTTTTTATATAATACTGCAAAGCAACATGTTAAATTAATTTTGTCAAATAACTATGATTTGATTTTTTTTATATATCACTAAATTTATCGTTATCGTCAGATTGCTCTGAAATATCATGATATGATATTTGAGCCATATCACCCACCTCTATAGGACGTTGTGTATAAATCATGACCTCTAAACAAAATAATTGAACTCTCATCATAACTTAAACATAAACTTAAACCAAACTGAGTTGTCATCCTTCACTTTTTCTTCATGTATTGAAATTGTTACGTTTGTATTCTGTGGAGGAACTGTGTGCGCTTGTTCCTTAACGGACTTTGTTCCAGGCTGGCACGTCTATGGCTTACTGCAGCGCTCGGACAAGAAGTACGACGAGGCCATCAAGTGTTACCGCAACGCTCTGAAATGGGATAAGGACAACCTGCAGATCCTCAGAGACCTGTCCCTGCTGCAGATCCAGATGAGAGACTTGGAGGGTTACAGGGTGAGGGTTCACCGATGGGGTTTGTTTTTGTTGATCAACAACTGGGGGTTGTGGTTTAAAAAAAAAAAAAAGCTGGCCACAAGAGATTCTCTTAAGTCTGGTGTCCTGATGTGAGACGGGTTTAAAATCTCTGTTTTAAGTTAACACACTTTAGACTTTGATGCGGACTTTGAGCAAACGTCTCATTTTGCAGTCGGTCTTTACAATTTAGTCCAGTTCTCCTGAGACAAGGCTGGGATTCAGATTTAATGAGAGGTTAGAAATCCCAAGATTAAAGTGGTTGAAGGGATTAAAGAAAATGGGGATGAAAGAGGAAAAGCAGGGGCTCTTTTGTTTACATCACAATGTTTTTTTTTTACCCTTGACAAAAACGTCTTGGCTGTGATTCAGTAAAATGTAGCTGCCGTTCAGTCATCAGACGTTCTCCCCGTTACTTTTCCCAGTTGAACGGCGGGTTTTAACTGGAGAAATCGCAATTTCCTTAAGAATTCTGCATGAATAAGTCCAAAGATGAAATATGTTGAAAATTTAATAAAGAACTCGTAACAAGTAAAACGGTATCTGAAGAGCAATCACTAAAATCTACCTTTAGCAAAACTGTTGCTAAAAGCTACAGTTAATAAAAGAGTAGCTCAAACCCTAAAGACAAATGTAGACTCAATCGGATGAGGCAGACCTCAGGGAGTGTTTAAAGGAGCTGAAAATATTTGAAGGCATTTCACTGAAACATTTTTCTAAAGTTCAATAAATGCAACAAAACATAAAAAGTTACAAATGCTAAAAGTCGTAGTCTTAATCTAATTGACCTGAATGTTTTGATGAAAGAATGGCTGCAATGGCACAAAATGTCTGGAAGTCATTGATCACAAAAAACATACAGCTATAAACAGGAAAGCAACAGTGTGGGGCAGGTATTTCATACATTCTGTTTGAATTATGTTATCAAACAAAAATAAAGTTGTTTGTTTTTTTTCCCATCTGTATAGGAGACACGGTACCAGCTCTTGCAGCTGCGCCCAGCCCAGCGGGCCTCCTGGATTGGCTACGCCATCGCCTATCACCTCCTGGAAGACTATGAAATGGCAGCAAAGATCATTGAGGAGTTCAGGAAAACACAGCAGGTCAGAAACGGTTCAACTTCCCTCAAAAGAAACTGTTCGTCTCAGAGTTGGAAATAGGCTATGATTACAAAACAAGAACTTAAAAGCCAGATTAGGAATTAGCTTGTGAGCTACACGGAGGTGAGAAGTACCATATTTTCTGCCGTATACGTCGCATCTATTACGCGTCACTGTTGACCACCTGGAAACGTGCGCCGGTGTTGTGACAAAAATCAATGGGCTGCCAAATGACGGCCGCGGGAGCGTGCACGGGAGGACTTTAACAAGAATTTAACAAGATTAACACTTAAAAACAATTATTTGTTTGCTCGAAAATATAGCAAAGTTGTGTCTCAGTCGAACTTTTCCTTAATAAATGCACTTTGACGGTCAAATCAGCAGCATTTCAAACATCGATTTGCGTGCACAGGAGGACTCGCTGTGCATTTCTTTGCAGTTTAACAAGATAATCACCTAAAAACAGTTGTGTTTGCTCGACTTTATAGCAAAGGTGCGTCTCAGTTAAACTTTTCCTTAATAAATGCACTTCAATGGTCAAATCAGCTTCATTTCACCGTTGCGGCAAAATGAAGCTGATTTGATGATTGCTCCAGGCATGATCCCGGAGCTGGACGAAGGTGGAAGTCTATGGCAAGCCGACTGTGTCATTAATAGCCCTTTTTACCTATTACATGACACAACGGCATGCCATACTGCTCGAGTGCCATCTAGTGGCTGAAAATGGTAGTGTTCAATATTTTCAGTCAGAATGAATGAAAATGGTCATACCGCAGCCAAACATTGGTTTATAAATATGGGGGAAATCCATAAATACGTCGCTTTGGCGTATAAGTTAAGTATAAGTATAAGTCTCTCTTGTAAATGAGTCCTCGAGGCTCAATGGGATTTACCTGTATAAATAAAGGTTGATTGATTGAAGTTACGGGGCATGTAAATTATGCAAAAAAAATCGCGAGTTATAGGGCGATGAATATGGTAGGTTTCCCATCATGCTGTGCGTCTGAACCTCTGATCGATAGACGTGAGTGCTTTCTGCACAGCCACCAGGGTTATGAATCTTCTTCTTTCGTCTTTTCCCTCTTCAGGGGTCTCCACAGCGAGTCGTCCTCCTCCATCTCACTCCACCTCCGTGTTCTCTCTAACTGCATCCGTATATCTCCTCTCTGTCTTTTTCCTGGCAGCTGCAGTGTTGTGAATACAAGTGTTGTTCGTATTTAGTAGAGCTCACCCTCTTTGTCTCTGGTCGGCTCCTGATAAGACCAGTCTGCTTCCTGCCTTTGTGCCAGCTGCGAAACGCAGCGAGCCGGTCTGACCCGACTAACGCTCAAACAACAAAGACTTGTTTAAAGTTTCCTGACCGGCATTAAACCAGCCCAGCGGCTCCAAAATGTTTTCGCTGGTGCCAGTCAGTGAGCCTCACGTTCTCTTGTTTGTTTTGTCCAGACGTCCCCGGACAAAGTGGACTACGAGTACAGCGAGCTGCTGCTGTATCAGAACCAGGTGCTGAGAGAAGCGGGTCTGTACAAGGAGGCCCTGGAGCACCTGTCCAACTACGAGAAGCAGATCTGTGATAAACTGGCAGTGGAGGAGACACGAGGTCAGTTTGTCGTTTCTTTCTTTTCCCGATTCCTTAAAAAAAGTCAAAGTTGTGACAATTAAAGGTGAAGGAAAGCGAAATTTAAAAAATGGGAGCGCAGTCTTTGGTGGGGTCCTCCCTCTGAGTCCTCCTCATGTTCGGGTGTTACACAAACATCCACTCAGCTCTTCGTTTCCATAAATGCTCCTTCTCAACCAATCCCCAAGAAAACGAGCCGTCCGTTTTAAATATTTTAAACTTACTACTCAGTTTTCAAGTACTCTTTGCAGATTTTGTTTTTATCTTTAATGATCAATATTTGATCATTACCTGGTCTAGCCCCTGCACATTGGTTCTATCTGTTGCACTCAATAGCCATGTTCCTGCAGGGGAGCTGTTTTTGAAGTTGGAACGTCTGGACGAGGCAGCAGAGGTCTACAGGCGTATGCAGGAGAGGAACCCAGAGAACTGGTCCTACTACCACGGCCTGGAGAAAGCCCTAAAGCCAAGTATGGCTCTTTATTCCTTTTGGTTAGACGTTTTTTATTCAGTGAGCTGGATATTACTATGATTGTTTAATTTATTTGCTTTTTTCAGGCAGCGTAGAGGAGAAACTGAAGATCTATGAAGAAACCTGGGAGAAGTTTCCCAAAGGGCTGGTTCCTCGCAGGCTTCCCCTCAACTTCCTGTCTGGTAAACCTAATAATGCGTTTATCATTTCTATTTGAGCTGAAACAATCTACTTGGTGAGGAATATTATTTGATGGTTGTTTGTTTGTTTTGTTTTTTTTATGCGATTGCTTTTTGTTTTCCATCTTGTTCCAGGTGAGAAGTTTAGGGAGTGCCTGGACAGGTATCTGAGGATGAACTTCAGTAAAGGCTGCCCTCCTGTCTTCACCACGCTCAAATCGCTGTACACTGTCAAAGAAAAGGTGACGAATCAGCTGCCACAGACGCTTTAACCCACACGAGCAAAAAAATCTGTGAATTTAACAATAACCGGGGGCGTCTTTGTTCAGCTGGTGAGGTCGTGTGCTTTTCTCTTTGCAGGTGACAATAATAGAAGAGCTGGTGGTCAGCTATGAAACCTCGTTAAGAAGCTGTCGAATGTTCAACCAGAACGGTGAGAAACTTTCAAAGTTGTTCGAGTTTGACGTCACGTCTGGTCTGCACAGTGCGTTTCCTTCTGAAGGCTTTTATCATTAGCTGTGAAATGAGGTGAGTTCACTGTTTCAGACGACGGTAAGGAGGAGCCTCCGACCACATTGCTCTGGGTGCAGTACTTCCTGGCGCAGCATTACGACATGATCGGCCAGCAGACTTTGGCTCTAGAATATATCAACGCGGCCATCGAGAGCACACCCACACTCATCGAACTCTTCCTCATCAAAGCCAAGATTTACAAGGTAGCGATGTTTTCACCGCTGTTGTGTTTTAAAGGCGCTGCTGCTCTGCCGTCGCCTTGACCTGTTCTCTCTCCTGCAGCATGCTGGGAACATCAGAGAAGCTGCCCAGTGGATGGACGAGGCCCAGGCTCTAGACACCGCCGACAGATTCATCAACTCCAAGTGTGCCAAGTACATGCTGAAGGCAGGCATGATCAAAAAGGCCGAGGAGATGTGCTCCAAATTCACACGGGTGAGAAAAGCTGCACCTGGAAGATTTATCAGAATAAACGCTAAGGCTGCCGCTTCTGTTTGCAGCTGGCTGGTTGAATCTCAAGCTCTGACTGTAGTATAAATATTTGGATTATGGTTTCAAAAGAACTCAGCCTGTCCTGGCTATATATTAAATAAAAAATAAATAAATAACGAAACAAGTTCATACACTGAACTTGAGTAAAATTGGTCACTTTGTTAAAAATAATTCAGAACAATAACAGTAGAAGGCTGCAGTAACTAGGCCTGTGGCGATAAACAATAAATCAATGAATCGGATGATAAATTAAAATTATTGACCTCGTTTTCATTTATCGGCTTTATCGTTTCTTCGTGTCCCTCTCTTTCTACTGGATGACAAAAGGCTCAACTCCGGTGCTCCTCACTAGGCCCGTCACGATAAAAACTGTCTCAGAAATTATTACGATAAACGATAATATTGTTTGAAAGTTAACATTGGTCATTTTTGTCAAATTTATAAAGAAAAGCAAGTTTATTTCTGCGTAGTACCTTTTTTTGACCACTGATGGCAGTATAAGACTTCACAATAATTCATGATGGTGAGAGAGGAGCAGCAGCTGTCTCTTTAAGAAAAATTAATGTTACATGTGAAAATGTTTTTTGTTTTTGTTCCAGAGCATACAAGTATGTTATTCAAAATGTTCAGCATAATTTTGCTGTTTATCTGTAATGCCATAATAAATGTACGTTTATACTGTTTAAAAAAACGACCTCTGTTTTACACGATGTGGTGTGTTGCCAGTTGGGCTTGTTCTCATAGAGCTGGTTGCTTGTTTCTGTTGTGAGATCTGGCAACACTGTACTCGTTCTTGTTCTTCGGTAACAAAATTGCGGATGCTCAGAACGTTTTGAGCTCTTTAGCATTTTTCACACAAAGCTTTTAATTTAAAAAAATCAGTAAACGAGTTCTCAGCTTCTTTTTGCAGAGAAAAACAACTTTTTACACGAAGGCACGGGTTTCAACCGTGGATGTTGTAGCTTCGACACGACGGAGGTCTTTTTCCCCCGAGGTCGCCCTGTTAGCTTAGCTCGTAGCTTAGCTTCTCAGCTTAGAATGATCCAAAAACTTGATTTTTGAACGATTTTAATGGATTTTAAAGAGAAAGAGAGGGGTCAGTGAGTGTTTTGTCATCCAGTGTCCAGTAGAAAGAGAGACATGAAGAAACGATAAAGCCGATAAATGAGGTAGATGATTTTCATTCATCATGTGATTAATTGATTTATTGTTTATCGCGACATACCTACTCTTCACTGACTCCTCCCTTTCTCTTTAAAATCGCTTTTAACGATCCAAAATTGCGTTTTTGGATCGCTAAAAGCAGCTAAGCTAAGAAGCTAAGCTAACAGGCCGACGTCGGAAAAAAGCCTCGGTCTTGTCTAGGCTCCAAAATTCACGGTTGAAACTCGTGCCTTCGTGTAAAAAGTTGTTTTCTCTGCAAAAAGAAGCTGAGAACTTGTTTACTGATTTTTTTTTCTTAAAAGCTTTATGTGAAAAATGCTTAAGAGCTCAAACCACACAGAGCGTCCGCCATTTTGAGAACCGAAAAAAGAGAAGGAGAGACGGCCCATGTCACGTCAAGGGGCCTCCCTCCCATTTTCTTAAAGAGACACGCTGCTCGCTCCCTCACTATCCATCCTTCAGTTCAAGCAGTCCTATAGTGCCATCCAGTGGTCAAAAAAGGTACTACACGCAAAACAAATTAACCCAACATTTCTTCTTAAATTTGACATTAATTACTAATTATTGTCAAATTTCAAACAATATTATCGTTCGTCGCAATAATTTCTGAGACGATTAATCGCCCAGCAAATGTTATCGTGACAGGCCTAGCTGCTGGTTCTGTTCGCAGCTGACTGGTTGCATCTCGAGCTCTGGCCATAGTACAAGTATTTGGATTATGGTTTAAAAAAAAAAAAAACTTAACCTGTCTTTACTATAAATGACTTTTTTTTTTTTAAAAAAGCTAACGAAACAAATTCTTGCATTGAACTTGAGTAAAACCGATCACTTTGTTAAAAATAATTCTGAACAATAACTTTAAATAATAACCAAAAGTGTTTAATGTTCTGACGGGAGCGTGTGTCGTGTGTTTCCCAGGAGGGAGCGTCCGCTGTGGAGAACTTGAACGAGATGCAGTGCATGTGGTTCCAGACGGAATGTGCCCTCTCCTACAAAACAATGAACAAGTTCGGAGAAGCCCTCAAGAAGTGCCACGAGATCGAAAGAGTGAGTCTTTACCGGCAGTTTCACTCTTGATGACTGAACTGGCAGCAGCCATTCAAAATATTTATTTTATTTTATTCAGCATTTTGTGGAGATTACGGACGACCAGTTCGACTTTCACACTTACTGCATGAGGAAGATGACGCTACGCTCCTACGTGGACCTCCTAAAGCTGGAAGACGTTCTCCGGATGCATCCTTTCTACTACAAGGCTGCCACTACAGCCATCCAGATCTACCTGAGCCTGCACGATAATCCCCTGACTGACGACAGCAAAGAGCTGCAGGCAGACACCGGTGAGGAGCACAGAGAGAACATGTCTCTCTTCTGCGCATGACATTTCCCCGTAGTTACGAAATATCTAAATTATTAAGTGTTTAGAATTACATTTGAGCTATAAAGAGAGAGGTTTATGATGATAAATCCATCTTTAAAACTTCCCGTTTCCTTTAGCAAACCTATCGGACAAAGAGCTGAAGAAGCTGAGGAACAAACAGCGAAGAGCCCAGAAGAAAGCCCAGCTGGAGGAAGAAAAGAAAAACGCCGAGAAGGAGAAGCAGCTAAAGAACCAGAAGAAGAAGAAGGAAGATGATGATGAGGAAATCGGAGGTCCCAAAGAAGAGCTCATTCCTGAGAAACTGGTCAAGGTTGGTGACGTCGTGGAATCACGATGCAAATGAGATTTATGTGACGCTCACTTTTGTCCTTTTTTTTTTTTATGTGCTCGCAGGTAGAAAATCCTCTGGAAGAAGCGGTCAAGTTCCTGATGCCTCTCAAACAGCTGGTCAAAGACAAAATTGACACACACCTTCTGGCCTTTGAGATCTACTTCAGGAAAGGTTGTCCATTTAGACGTTTTACTGCCCAGTCTTATTTTCACTTTAGATGTTCCTTTGACCTCTCATTCACACGTCTCTGTTCTCCTGCTAGAAAAGTACCTGTTGATGCTACACGCAGTGAAGAGAGCACTGGCCATTGACCCGGACCACCCGTGGCTTCATCAGTGTTTAGTGCGCTTCTTCAAAGGAGGTAGGACCTGTTTGTGATCGAACTGTCCCAGTTATGGAAGTGTCTTCTCTCCTCTTCAATCGGTCTTCTCGTTCAGTTTCAGAGAGCAAGGAGCTGCCGGAGGTGGTCAGGACGGTGCTGAAGCAGGAGATCACCCGGCTGTTCGGAGATGGCAACGCTAAGAGCTTCAACCAGGCCTACCTCAGCAAGCACTCCAGCTCCATCCCACATCGACTGGCTGGTGAGCAGCTTCTCCTTTTTTATTCTTTTATTCGTGCAACACCTCACAGAAACCCCTTTTAGTGCTGGAGTAAGAAAAAGACAGAATGGCACCAAAAATTTTAATCTTTTTTTTAAGTATTGGATGGTATTTCAAAGGATGAAGGGAAGAGAGTTCCCTTTAAAAAAAACTAGCATTTCTTTTTGTTTTCTTTTTTCTCATTTTTTTCCATTTTTCCCTTTTTTTCTCTTTTTTTCTTTTTTTTTCTTTTTCCTCAGGGAAAAAATGGGAGAAAAAAAACTAGCATTTCTTTCTTTTTCTTTTCTTTTTTTTTTTTTTTTTCCTTTTTTTCTTTTTTTACTTTTTTTTTTTGTGTCTCAAAAAAAGGGAAAGAGAAAAAAGGGGAAAAAATACCTAGCATTTCTTTTTTTCTTCTTCTTTTTTCCCCCTTTTTTCTTTTCTCTCTTTTTTTCTTTCTTTTTTCCTCTGGAAAAAAAGGGGGGGGGGGGACTCGCATTTCTTTTTTTTTTCCCCTTTTTTCTCTTTTTACTTTTTTCTTTTGTTTCTCAAAAAAGGGGAAACAATACCTAGCATTTCTTTTTTTTTTTTCCTCTCCTTTTTTCTCAGAAAAAGGGGTGAAAAAACCCTAGCATTTCTTTTTTTTTTCCTTTTTTTATTTTTTTCCCCCTTTTTTCTGTCTCTTTTTTTTCTCAGAAAAAAGGGGGGGGAACCCTAGCATTTCTTGAAAGGATGCAATTTGCTCACGCGTTTTTTAAAACGCCAAAATCTGCAAGTGTTCTCTGGCTGTGTGTTGGGGTGATTCTCTGCAACTACCACGCCACATTGTTGCTCCGTATTTGTATAAAGAACTGAGTTAGAGCAACTTTTATGTTGCTACGGTCAATTTGCTTCGGCAAATCTTTAGTTTGCTTCACTACAAAAAACAACACAAGACAAATGAACAGACACGAGCAGTTTTATGATTGCTTCTCTTTTATTGCAGTGGATGATGATGAAAAATCTTTTGAGGTGAACCTGAAACTACGATCCACATTTTTAGTTTTTCTATAAACCAATAAACTCGTGAAAATGGCAGAAACAAATCTGTAGTTGACTTCAATAAGATTTTATTATTGACCGCACGTGAATGGTTTTTGTTCGTCGGCCAATTTTCTTGAAGTAACATTCAGCACAAATAAATAACAGACATTGAATTGTACTCATAATGTGCCAACGTTGTGGTAGTAACTGAGGGTCATCCACAGCTCACGAGTGTGAGCTTGCACAATATTTTCAAGGTTGGACCAAAATATCTACAACTTTGTCATTTTTCAGCACAAGATGATTTCGGTTTCAAACTTGAGCACGAAACACGGCGGGCGATCTGCGTTCCTTCCTTTGTTTATAAAGAAGTTATTTATTAATAACTAATTATTTATAAGTAAATATTTATAATAATGACTTATAAATAAGTTATTTATAAGGAAGTTACATTTGGTGGACTATTGTCGTTATCTCTTCTGTAAGCTGTAGCAGAAATATGTGGAACAACTTTAAGTATTTCTGTTCGTGTTTTTGATTTTTGCCTTTTGTGCTTCTTGCTTTTCTGCAGGAAAGAGGTCTGTGTGTATTTAGAGTGGGCGAATATTAAACCGAGAGCTTAAAAGTGTGGGTTACTGCCGGAGTAGCTGGCTGTTAAAGACCTTTTCGATTAACGCTGGTGTTTCAGCCGGATGTGCTTCGATCTGTGTGTACGGAGCACCAACTCTGCCCCAGACGTGAACCTGAAAATATTAAAGGCAGCAACAAAGATTTTTGCTTCTCACATGTTGGAGCAGCTCTGTTACATTCATTCAGAGATTTTGCTTTTGAATACTTGTAATTCCTCTTTGGATGTAAATCACTTTTTTTTGGATGATTGTTTCCTCTGGTGTCTGATGCTGTGCAGCTGGAAGGATTTTTAGTTTTGAACGTTTAAGATGCGTAACCATAACAACAAGGTGGTTTTCTACAACCAGGAGCTGCTGATTAACATCTCAAAAGCACAAATAATACCTCAACTACAGCCCCAAATCTCAAATGAATTGAAAAGGAGGCGCCGTGGATGCATTCCTGTCTCTCTGCCAGCTGTGCTCAAGTGCCCGACCACTGAGATCCTGGAAGTAGCAGGAAACGCGGTTCGTGACAGCAGAAGGACCGGGATCGTCCCCTGGCTGGCTGTCCGCAGCGACGAAGAGCTCGGCAGGCTGCTGGGAGGAGTGGCCATCACTCTGGGGAGTTCAGCCCGGCGTTCAGGCGACCCTTCAGCCTGGGGAAGCCGAGAGGCCAGCTGAGTGGGTGGACGGATTGCACGGCATCTGCGGCCAGTTTCTTCAGATCCGCTGTGGGACGGACCTTCCTGCCTACAGCCATCAATATCTATAACATCTCTTAATGAAACGAGGATGATGAGTTACAACGTTTAATTTCCCTTTGGCATTAAAGTGTTTTTTAATCGAATTGAAAGCGCTGAAATATCTCTTCACTGCGATGGCATTATTAACACACACCTTCTCTGGGATTCACCCTTTTCTCTTCTTCCTGCAGCTGCTAAGATGATGGTGTATCTGGATCCATCAACGGAAACGAAAGCAGCAGAACTGGTCACTGCACTGGACGAGTCGCTAAACAACAGAACTGTTCAAGTAAGCGTTCACCGGGCTGGACCTGAGCTACTCATGGGAGGAAAAGGGGTCGACTCTTCATTATTTGTGTGAAGTACATGTGCTGTATTTCTGTTTTTATTCCTTATCACATTAACTTTATATTTTATGATTAAAAGAGAGCAAATTTAGAAATGTCAAGATGCACTAAAAGGGCGGCCCAACTTACAATACTGACAAATGTGTTTGCTTGTTTGACTGCCATGTCAGTAAAATATCTTAACCACTGAATGCATTTTAATGAAACTTTAAGAAAGGAATCGTGTAAATTTTCACCTATTAGAACACACATGGGCCACATATGGCCCGGGGGCCATACGTGAACAATATCCATTTGGCCTCCATTTAACCTAACTGAAAAGTAAATAGATGAAAACCAGCATTTTATAAGTAAAATTAAGGAAATCTAAATTAAACACCTCGGACAAATGCATCTAAACTTTTGCTATAAGAAAGGCCAAAGCATTTTTTCTGGTAAGTCATTGTGGAAGTATATTGTTACCGAGCGTCTTAACGGCTACAACAAGAAAAAGCCGTGTCTTCTAGATTATCTGTCTTAAAAAAATATTTTCCATTCTCTATGCAGCCTTTTGATTGCTTCAAATAACTTGATTTGGACCTCTAGGAACAACATGTTGCCCACTTATGTGTAGAGTCCATCCAATTCAGTGTGGTCACCACATCGAAAATATTTTACAATCACATACATGGTTATAGTTATGCTGATATTGAGCTAAAACAGGGTTTCTGCAGGGTCCTAAACAGTCTTAATCTAATCTAATCTATAGGCGTTTGTCTTAAATATATTCAGATTTTCGATTTTGGGTTCTAAACTATCTTTAGTTACATCTTAAATTTGTTTATTCATTAATTCTTTGCATTCTTTGTTGTAGTCGTATCTGAGGAGTTCCGATGTTATCTCACTTTAATAAAACTACAAGTCCCATCATGCAGCAGCACTGTCAAATATTCAGCCTTCTCTGGGGAAAAAAGTCAGTTTGTTCTTGGAACTGTTCTGATGATTTGAGTTCAATTTAAACGAAAGGCAATAAAATGTATTTTGTTTGTTTTCAAAATGACTTGTTTTTGCAAAATCAACAGCAAATATAACTCAAACTCTTCGTCATCTTCACGTTAAAACCTCTGAATGAACTTTGTCCCCGTCTCTTCTTCCGGACACAGATCTGCACAGAGGTCCTGGATTGTCTTCGGAGCGGCATCTTCGGCGACTGTAAGGAGCAAGCCGAGTTGTACCGTGCCGAGTGCCACAAGCTTTACCCCTACACGTTGGCTTTCATGCCGCCCGGATACGAGGAGAACACCAAGATCGCAAACGGGGACGTTTCCACGGAAACAGAGGAGCTAGCTAACGAGATTTGAGTCTGATGGAACAGCAGCAGATGGGAAAAGAAATTGGGCCAAGCACAGAGCTTTGTGGTACGCCTGGCAGCCTTTTTTTTTTTTAGAGCTGGACATCAGAAGCCAACATGGGTGTTTTTCGTCCTCTTGTCTCGGCTTAAATCGGGACTGACCTGGCATGACTTGGCTCTTCTCCCACTTGGATGAAATTCAGGATTGTGTGTGTGTGTGTGTGTGTGTGTGTGTGTTGAGTGTGTGCGCAAGTATTTGTTGGTAATGGGGGGAGGGGGGAGGAGGGGAAAGAGGAAGATGACAGAACAAACATTTTACTACTTTTTTTTAACAGAATCTGCAACCAAGTTGAAAAATAAACCGTTACGATGAAATGTGTGGGTGAAACTGAAGCTCAGACACGGACTGCTGGTTTCAACTAAAGACGATCAATAACGACTCGAGTTTGACTCAGACACGCATCTATTCTTCACCGCGTTCCTTTATTTTAACGTAAAATTCAAATAAAATGGAAGTGGGACACGGCTGTCACTCTGGGGGGGTTGGGTTTGAGCGGATCTGTAGGAAGCGGAGCGGGACGAGTTTCCGAGGACGTCCAGGTGCATCTGCTGTAAAACTCGCCGCAGAATCTGTGGACGGTGAGCGAAAAGCCCGATCCCTGCAGGGGGGAGACGATCCCCGCCCCCCCCCCCCCCCCCCCCCCCCATGTGAACAGTTTTCCATCAAAATGTGCTTCCCTCACAGTTCCAGGTCCAACTTTATGAACCCCGTCTGTTTTCATGGAGCACCGTGTAGCACAGAATAAAAACTGTAAAGTGTGTGTTGTGCTACATTTCTGAAACACTGCTACTTTTTCCTGTTTTTTTTTTTTTTTCTGACAAAGATGGATAAAGCTAAGCAATACCAGTCACCTCCCTGTTCACCAAGGATCCGTTTCATCAGTTCGGTTTTTGATCCAGCTACGCGGCTCCACTGAACCTCCAGTCAGACGTGTGTAGTCATTAGTTGAAATGGTTTCGTCTGCATGTTCCTCTGTCGGGATGAAAACGAGACGTCGGCTCCTCCGTCAGTGGGATCCTGTAATAAAAGTGGCTCCTGTAAAGATCAGAGATCTGCATCAGTTTTATTGTTCTGAACGTTGCAGGGCGTGAAACATCACTTGTTCTTTCTGTTCCACTCCTTTCACTTCTCTTCCCCTTTTTCCTCTTGATTTGGGTTCTGATGTGAAAGATGAAATCTGAGATGGTGATGTATGATATCTCTAGATTTTTGTATTAAAATCAAAAGGAAAAACTTGACTTTTTGTGTAAATGTTTGTCCGTTAAGTGCCATTGAGGTCGGTTTTAAAACGTCTTTTGAGCAGGTTACCATGGCAACACCAGGTGTTCAGGAGCAAAAATATAAATGCTAACTTTATTAACAAGAGGGTGTATAATCCTTAGAGCAAGTTCTGGCTCATCTCAGGAGTTTCCTCATAGTTTGAGCCTGGAACACCTCCAGAAAGTCCTAATCGGGCCGAACCACCGTAGCTCCTTTAAATCCGAAGGAGCATCTGATCCAATCTCCTCGCCCCGTTAGGCTGAACTCAACAACCCTACAGAGGAAGCTCATTTTATCAGGTGGGACCTGGGGATCTAGTTTGGGTCGTGATCCAAACCTTGTGATCATAGAGGGTTGAAAACGTGCATGAACCAGTAAACTGAGGTTACCTCCTCTACCCTGAACCGGAGCAACATCCTCATTACTCCATCCTGTCGTCAAACAAATTTCGAACAAGTTTAATTTTTGAAACGTTCAACCAGTTCCAAAACTTTTTTGTTTTTGAGACAAATCAAGCGGGTTGAATTATGAAAACCTCATGAAAAGATAAAATACCAAAGAGCCTCGTCTGATAGTAAACAGGCTTTTATGTATTTATGACTATTATTTTTATTTATGAATACTAAGGGTAAATATGTGATTGGTAATTATTTTTAAAGTTCATTTCCATAGATCTCATGATTCACACGGGTGCAGTTTTTTAATGTTCATAATTATTTGAATTTAAACGTAAACTTTGGCTGAAAACCAGTAAGTATAAAACAAGTGGGTTGATGTTTTTGTATATTTTTAAAGTACAGACTTATTTTAACCATAAAGTGGCGTAAATATTTGAACAAAAGTTAAATTGTAGGTTGTCATAGTAGTAATAAAAGTTTAATATAAATTACTGCACGTCATAAAGTTAGAAAATGTGGCTTAGATCAGTTTTAAAATCTGCATTTTAAGTATTTAAAAATCAAAAGTGTTGTTTTTCTATTTATACCATTTTAAAGAAAATTATAAAGTGCATTTTAGTTATGATGTAAAGTGTCTCATGTCTAAAAATAAACCTTCACTTCAAACTAATTTTATTTCCTGTAAAATTAAAAGTATTTTTAATTGATGTCCTTCCTGGACTCAGCTTCAGTCTTTTGATGTGCAAGCATCGATGCCTTTTATCTTAAAAATGTTAAAAAATATATCTAAATGGAAATTTTTATTCTATTTCATGTTTTTAAAAAGAAAAAGGTTCAGCAGTAGATTATTTCCTGCAGGGGTCAGTGCTCAAACATTTAGACTAAACCAGCTTTAATCATTGTATTTGCTGTGTCTGATGTATGGAGACCTGTTTCTGCCACTCAGAAGAAAAATTAATTCCCTCAAGTCATAATTTTTCTACTATTTCAAAATAACTTGACTTCACAATGACTGCATGAGACGTTAATCCATATTTATGAAATCCAACCATCTATTTTCTTCACACACTTCTCCTTTCCAGGTCTGGGGAGTTGAAGCAGCTGTGTGAGAGGCGGAGTCACACCTGGACAGGTTACAAGACCACCTCTGCGCCAACATTCACATTCTCACATCTATAGGAAAATTCAGAGTGACCATTCAACCTAACATGTTTTTCAGTGGTGTAGTCTACATTTTTGTAGTGGATATACTGGGCTTAGAAACCAAAGTACACATGTTGGTACAATGTAATCGTAAACTTATTTTGATTTTTAAGCATATTGAACATTTCCAATTTTCTCGGATGCTTACATTTGAATAAATGAACAACAAACTTTGTACAACAGTTGGCTTTGTATTAAAAACGTTATAGAATTTATAAAACAGTGTCAAAGCAAAGCGCCATAGAAGGATTGTTACGGAAGAGTTTAGCCACCGTTTAACGGATCAGTGACACGTGTCTATTGATGTCATGTGTCACTGGGCACTTTTAAGTGGGTATACTGAAATTATTAAGCTTTTCTAGTGGGTATACTCTGTATACCTGAGTGTCGCATAGACTATACCGCTGATGTTTTTTGGCGTGGGAGGAAACCCACGCATGCACGGAAAAGCCCCGAGCTGGGAGGGAATACTGAAACAGCCCTTACCACTTCACCACTGTGCCACCCATTTATGAGAGTTGAAGTCATAAATATGAGATCACAATTTTAAGAGAATTTCTCATAACCGTGACTTACAAAAAATATTTTGTATCAAAATGGCAGAAATGGGCTTCCATACACTTTTAAATTTCAATTAATCAGGTTGACCTGCGGGTGGAGGTGAGCTCCTCCACCCTGCAGCTCCACTCATCATCATCATCATCACGCTGTCAAATGAGACACACGTGGAAACGAGAGCCCCCCCCCCCCCCCCTTCCCTTCCCTTCCCTGTCTTCCTCTCCACCCACGCTGCTAAACTTCTGCGCGCAAAGAGCGCGCCGGATAAAAAGGAGAAGTTTTGTCCCAAATCGAGCGAAGCCGTGTTTTGTGGAGGATCTGCGGGGAATCCTGGACTTATGGAGTCCTCTCTGGAGTTCTCCAGCTCTTTGGGCAGCGTGTCCTCCCTGCTGACCCGCTGTCGGACCTTCAAGGTTCTGGTGATCGGGGACTCCGGTGTGGGGAAGACGTGCCTGACGCACCGGCTGTGCGCCGGAGAGTTCCCCCGCGGAGTGGAGGCCACCATCGGCGTGGACTTCCGCGACAGAGCGCTGGAGATCGAAGGAGAAAAAATAAAAGTAAGAGGTGAAGTCTGTTTTGTTTTTCTCCATCAAATATTTGCTGGAAATTTGGGTTAAAATGTGCCAAACGTCGCTTTTACGCACGGTTCCTTTATTTTAATGCACTTAAACAAAAAAAGCTGTTGAGTGAGCGGAACATTTTTATTTATTTTTATTTTTTTAACAAACGCTTGAACTCTTTCTGGGGAATAGTTATAGGGTTTCCTGGTATTTGTGTCTTTGCTGCTGCAGAGTTAACACAGTTGTTTGTCCACCGGCTGCTGCTGAATCACAGAAAATTCTCTGCATGACAGAAAATCAGCAGATCTTGTTTTTCCACCTATAAATCATGATTTCTTTATCTGCAGAGGTTCATCTGTGCGTGTATTTAAAGCGGATTGCAGACATTTCAAAGCTTATTTTTCACAGAACTCAGTTGGGTCAGAGTGTTTCCTGAATGTTTTGAAATCTGCACATGACAGAGGAAGTGTCTGCAGAGAGGACTGAGACTTGTCAGGGCAAAGTTTTGAGTTCATCTTCTGAAGTGATGAAATGTGGGACCAAGTCCTTCGTGTTGTTTATGGATTCTTAAAGTTAAAGTGGAAGTTTAATAATCGTGTGCATCATCAGTCCAACAACTCCCTGACACAACGAGCCTCTCACTCACTGGAATCACCCTCCTGCAGGATTTAATTTCTTAATAACGTTCAAGATCATCAACTCCGTTTAACCAACTCGTTCTTAATTTGACTGTTCTCTGTGGATCTTTGTGTCTATTTTTGTGTTCATTTGTGCAGTTGTAACGCTGGCTGTGAGGTGCTGAGAGTTGCATTTAAACTGTACAACGCCAACTTAAAGAAGAGTTGTTATACAGAGTAAAATGTAAACTATAAACAGAAAGCAATGATTTGCAAATGTTGTAAGACAATAGTTTATTCACAATAAACGCATCAAGTGTTGAAACAAAAACTCTGTTGCACCCCCATACCATCAGAGAGGCAGCTGCTCGATGATCCCGCTCATTTTTAGTCAGTACGTTTTTCCAAACCGTCTTGGTCCTGTAGCACAGAACAGTTCTGGACTTCACCTCAGTCCATTTGAAGTGAGCTCTGGTCCAGAGGAGACGGCAGCGGTTCTGCATGGTGTTCACATCTGGCTTCTTCTTTGCCTGATAGAGCTTTAAGCAGCATCTGTGCATGAGCTGTGTTTACAGACAATGATCTGTAGAAGTGTCCATGAACCCAGAACAGAACCAGACCCTGGGGGCCCAAAGATCCCGACCATCCTTTGAGCTCAGAGATTTCTGCAGATTCTTGAAAGTTATTATTATGGCAATCATTTTCTGTTAAGGACCATTATTCTGACATCCATGCATCATCTTTACCCGCTTTTTCCTTTTTGGGTCGCGGGGGTCACTGGTGCCCATATCCAGCAGTCATTGTGCGACAGGCAGGGGACACCCTGGACAGGTCTCCAGTCCATCACAGGGACACACGGAGACAAACGAGACAAACATTCACTCTCTCTCACCTAGAGACAATTTAGAGTCACCAGTCAACCTAACATGCATGTTTTTTGTCTCTGGGAGGAAACCGGAGTACCCGGAGAAAACCCACACATGCACGGAGAGAACATGCAAATTCTACCCAGAAAGCTCCTGGGCTGGGATTTGAACCAGCGACCTGCTTGCTGAGAGGCAACAGTTCTACCAACTGAGCCACCAAGCCCATTATTCTGATATTGTTGCATAGGAAGCATGGCATCATACACTCCAAGCATTTATGAGAAAATGCAAACATACCGATGATACATTTTGTTTTATCCTCTAAATTAAAGTGAATGTGTGAATTTTAAAGGCGGGTAATAAAATCTGCACCAAAGTGAAACGGGCCTTTTGTTTTGCTCCTGTTCTTCATCTTCATGTCATCACATTTCTTCCTCAGATTTGTGTTGAGGGTCGATTCTTCTGGGATCTTTGTTTTACTTGTGCACTCCAGATATGTGGACAAGTTTCACATGTGAATCAAAAAGGAAATGTTTTCTTAAGGAAACGTTGACAGTTTTAAACAGAAATCAGACTTTCTAACATTCCGATTGTTTTTTCCTTTATCTTTGTTCTCTGTCAGAGATGACTCCCTCTTTGTCTCCGTTCGATATTTCAACACATGATTTCTTGCCTCAGTGCTTTCTGTCTTCATTTCCTCTTTTTCAATGTTTGCGTCTCTTCCCTCCTTAGTTGATAAAGGCCAATATCTCAAATTCTTCCTCTTCCTTTCCCCTCCTCACAATCAGCTCCAGCTGTGGGACACGGCAGGACAAGAACGCTTTAGGAAGTCCATGGTGCAGCACTACTACCGGAACGTCCACGCCGTGCTCTTTGTTTATGACGTCACCTGCCCTGCCAGTTTTAAGGGGCTGAATGCCTGGATAGAGGAGTGCCGGCAAAACTCTCTTGGTCATGAAATACCCAGGTAATTATACCAATTCAAGTTCAATAATGTTTTTTTTTAATGCTGTGCAAATAAAGAAGACAACCAAACAAATTGATAAAATCTTAGAAAGGAGTTTCAAGAGCAAATGATAGCGACCCGAGTATCACTCCTTGTGGAACTCCACAGCAGGTTTTCTGCCTCTGCACCTACTTATAGTAAAGGGCTTCTGTTTCTTCCCCCAGGTTCCTTATTGGAAACAAGAGCGACCTTCGTGATCCCAGCAGGACTGACCACCAGGTGAGCCAGGAGCGGGCGTTGAGCTTCGCCAAAGCCCACGGCATGACTTTCTTTGAAACATCTGCCAAGAACCCTTTAAAGAGACAGGCGAGCAGGCGACGAGGCGACAGGGAGGTTCTGTATCAGCAGGACGCTGTGGAGGACATCGTCACGGCTGTCGGCACCACGCTGAAGAAACACAAGAGTCCTTTAACGGCTAACTCGCCGGCGTACAGCGGATCTTTTCGAGTTAACAAGAAAATCCCAGAGAAAGAGCAGTGGTCGTGCTGCTGAGAGCCACGCAGGACACTTCGCCTTTTCAAAGGAAGAACGTGACTTTTTGTACAAGGGTTTCAAAAAACTTAGTCGTTCCTCCCCAGAGAGATGTTTAATATTTAGACTGATTATTACTTAAGATTATTATGTATATTGTTGATCTTCTTGTTTACTTTTCCTGTAAAATAAAATCCTGTGAGTTTTAAAACACAAACTGTTATATTTTCATATTTTTCAGATTTAGGGGGTTTATTTGAGCTGGGTTATTTAGTTTGTGTTCGGGAAACGTCACCTCAGGGTTGTATTGATCATCTGAAGATAATCCAGCTGACGTCAACCTGATCAATATTCTGTTGGATCGGTCAAAACGTTCATTTCTGAGAGCAGCTGGGAAACTAAAAGGAAACTCAAAATCATGAATTGTATTGTGGAAATGTAAAGTATGTTAATAATTTTCCAATTATGATGCTAAGTATTCAAAATAAAAGGACTTTCCGCATCAAATTTATTACTTTTTTAAGATCTGGAAACACTGGACTATTAAATGGTTAATATGTTTTGTTGTTGTCCACGGTCACGCTCCAGTCTTGTGCACGAGCAGGACGGCGAGCGAGTGGGGGTGTTGGAAAATGGCATCACATGTGTTTCTGTGATTTTTATGTGCAGTTTTGATGATTCAGACGTGGTCACATGACGATCCTGCAGCGCGTCAGAGACGCACACAGCTGAGTGTGTTTGTGCTTCGGTGCAACATTCAGCAGCCGGACGTTAAATTTCTCTGATTTACATCCATTTTTGGTTTACTTTAAATCATTTAGATCCAACTCAATGTGTTAAATAGGCCGATGATAGGCAGTGATGAATTAAAAAATGAATCGTCATTATAATCTTTTTGTGGCAGAATAAATATATTCACTTATTATTTCCATATAAGTGTAAAACAAATCTTTCATAATGGTGTCATCACACATTTAGTTCAACAAGTGATTTACAAACTTAAACGTTCTCGTTTAAAACTATAAAATCAAACATAAAAAGTTGATCCTGAACTGTATCGGACGGTGCAGCTTGAAAGAACTCCTGTAGTTCTCCTGATACTGTATGCAGTTCTGAAGTGCAGGTACGCGCTTAACGTAAACACAACAAACTCTAAACCCACTGAAAGCCTGGAGGAAGCTGGAGTCACATGACGGAGCTGCAGTGGCTGTAGTCTGTAGAGGGAAACATGTGGTGGAACGAACAATCAAAGAATCGAGGCGAAGACGTTTAGGTGTAAATATAAAAATGAAGCTGCTGCTAAACCCACAGAAAAGGGAGAGGACGATAAAAAACAGCTGTCAGGTAAATATCAGGATCAAACATGGCGGTGGAGCCTTGAAAACACAGCTCAGTATTCAAACGTTCTTCTTATAAATTCACCATTTGAATGTTTTTTTTAACTCAGTCCTCTGAGGCAGCCACAGCTAAAGTGATTCAAAACATCAAAGTTCATGCTCAATAATCCAGGTTAAAAAAAATCCAACAAAGATATGAAGGGATGAAGTCCAGATGACCTGACTGAACTACCTGGATTACTGAGCGTGAACTCTGACACACAGTAAGTCTGTTCACAAAGTTAGTTTACAGCTTCATCATTTAAGAATTGAGAGTTTTTTTTATTCTTTATGAGGCTTAAAGAGTTTTAGGACGCAAAAACAGATTTTTGGTGACCAAGTGTTAAATGCTTCATTTGGATTTACTTGTCTTTAAGTTGTTTTGTTTCAAGCAGCTGTTATCAGACGAATCAGGAACTCCAGCTGTTCTCCACAGAGTCTCAGCGACCCGATAGACTTGACCCTCCTGTTGCCCTCGGCTCAAAATGACCCAGGAGGCCTCAGTTTCTGTCGTCATGGAGACAAGAGGGGGAGTTGGAAAGATTATCTTCCTGTCTGTCCGTTCCTGGAAGTTGTGAGCATGATCATTTGAAAAATAAGTTATGCACCGACTTCCATTTTGGTGTGTGGCTACATCTAGATGTAAGAAAGTTTCATTTTGAAAAGTCATTCAGTCACTCAGTCACTAAGTCACCCAGTCACTCAGTCAGTCAATCATTCACTCATTCGGTCACTCAGTCACCCAGTCATTTAGTCGTTCAATCATTCAGTCACTAAGTCACCCAGTCACTCAGTCATTCAATCATTCACTCACTCAGTCACTCAGTCACCCAGTCATTTAGTCGTTCAATCATTCAGTCATTCAGTCACCCAGTCATTTAGTCGTTCAATCATTCAGTCATTCAGTCACCCAGTCATTTAGTCGTTCAATCATTCACTAATTTAGTCACTCAGTCATTCAATCACACAATCATTCAATCACTCAGTCATTTAGTTACTCTGTCATTCAGTCACTATTTCATTCAGTCATTTAGTCATTCATTCACTTAGTCATTTGGTCATTTAGTCTCTCTGTCATTTAATCATTCAGTCATTCCGTTACTCACTCATTCACTCAGTCAGTCAGTCACTCAGTCATTCAATCACACAGTCATTCACTCATTCACTCACTCAGTCATTCAATCATTCACTCAGTCAGTCATTCAGTCACTCAGTCATTCAGTCACTATTTCATTCAGTCATTTAGTCATTCAATCATTTTGTCATTTGGTCATTTAGTCACTCTGTCATTTAATCATTCAGCCACTCACTCACTCAGTCCGTCAGTCAGTCATTCATTCAGTCATTGAGTCACTCAGTCATCAGGTGAGCGTGTTCACACTGAATCTGAGAACTCACTTATCTTATCTCAGCTGTTTACAAGAAAAGAGTAAATCAACTTTTTCCTTCAACCAGAAAACTTTAGAGTTCAAAGTTCACCCTCAGCTCTCGTCTGTGTGATCGCATGAGGAAAGTCTCAGACGTTTGGTTTCTTCTGAGCTTCTACAAGTCTGTGAGCTCTTCAAGTAAAAATGGATATTAGTGGATTTTCAAGTTTCTAATAAACGTATCCCTCCAAATGTATTTTTACCTACTTGGAGAGCCGAGCTCGTCGATCTTGACCTTTGACCTCCTCAATATTCCGCGATTGGAAAAACATTTGACTGATGACTCACAACACCTGGAAACTACTGGATCTTACGGATTTATCAAACTCTGATCAACAACCAATTATTAAATTTCACTCCATGAGAAACTAAAATAAAATAAAAAGTAAAGCACAGATTGGATTAGTTGAATTTTATAGATAGTTTAAATTAACTTTGTTCTAAAATATGAAGTAAAAGATCGGAAAATAAAGAAAAGTTGATGAGGTCAAAATGTCAAAACTAAATACTTAAAGCCAAAAAAGTTTTGTGTAGTCAAATAAAAATAAATATAAAGAAAGACCAGAGCAAACATTTTGATGGCGCGTCTTTGACCATGTGTTTTTGTGATAATGAACTTTTAATTATTTAAAAATAAGGATTAATGTACAGAAGCAGTGGTCGAACTCGACCTGTTTCTTTTAGTGACGCACGAATTGATCGGTGATTTTTGTGACGTGAGACCGACCTCAGCTCCTTTCTAAAGAAACCAGCTAATAAAAAAAGACTTTCAAATACAATAGTCCCTCATTTATCGCAGGGGATCCGTACCCTGAAGCCGCACGATAAGTGAAAAACCGTGAATACAGTAGTTCAAGTTCAAGTTCAGTAAACTTCATATTAAGGCTTTAAAAATCCTTCCCACACTCTTGGAACGTTCTAAACTCTTTAACCTACGTCATTTTAACAACATATGTTAATAAATTTTACATACTAGCTCTGCAGAACAGGAGCGGCTCAGTTCCATCCAACCCTGCAGAGTTTGGAAGCAGTGTTGACTTCTGGGAAGTGAACTGATGGCTTCTGGGTAACGTAGTCCTTTAGACTGGCAAAAAAAGTGAAGGTTTAATGAAAGAAAACTACAAAATGGTGGCACTTTCCTTAAATAAATAAAAAAAATTGTGTACAGTACTGTACTTAGATAAACTGCGAAAGAGCGAGTCCGCGAAAAACGAACCGCGAAATAGCAAGGAACTACTATACTTTGAGGCTTCCTCTGAAGGGGGGGGGATCTACAACTTCTCCTCCTTCACCATAACCCTCAGCACTGGCTCTCCTCAGGGATGTGTGCTGAGCCCTCTTCTGTTCACTCTGCTCATGTATGACTGTGCACCTACCCATCCAGGCTGTCACATTGTGAAGTTTGCAGATGATACAGCGGTGGTGGGATTCATCACAAACAATGATGAGTCCAGCTACAGGCAGGAGGTGGAACACCTGGAGAGCTGGTGCAAACAGAATAACCTTCACATCAATGTGAAGAAGATGAAGGAGATGGTTGTGGACTTCAGAAGGAACAAACACACCTACACCCCCCGAACATAAGAGGATCTGCGGTGGAAGTGGTCTCCAGCTACAAGTACTTGGGTGTGCACCTGAATGACGACCTCAGCTGGAGCATCAACACCATCAGCCTGATCAAGAAAGCTCATCAGAGACTCTACTTCCTCAGACGGCTGAGACGAGCTGGTCTGAGAAGCGCAGTCCTCACCTCCTTCTACAGTGGAGAGCATCCTGTGCTCCAGCATCAACGTGTGGCATGGAGGCTGCACAGCTGCAGAAAGAAAAGCTTTGCAGAGAGTGGTGAAGGCTGCACAGAAGATGTTGGAGTCAGCCTCCCCACCATCACAGACATCTACACCTCCACATGCAGAAAGAGGGCCACCTGCATCATGAAGGACCTCACTCACCCAGCACACACACTTTTTGCCCCGCTCCCCTCAGGAAGGAGGTTGAGGAGCATTAAGTGTGGAACCACTAGACTGAGGAACAGCTTCTACCCTGAGGCTGTTAGACTCATGAATCTCTAACCAGAATAATCACTGTGAAAAAATCACACCATGTTGCTGCTGATCTGTTTCATGTTGCTGCTGATCTGTTTCATGCTGTTGTGTTGTGTTCATTTGTACTCATCTGTTCACACAGACTCATGTTTGTGCTGCTGTTCGGTGCATTGTTTTTATGTTTTTAGTGCTTAGTGTATTTTTATTAATGTTTTTCTTAATTCATATCTTAGATCTTATTACTGTTTTTCTTTTACATTTTGTACTTGCGTTGGATGTAACTGGGACCCTGGTACATAATTTCGTTCCACCACATGTACCACATGAGATGCACATGACAAATGAAGAAACTCTAACTCTCTGATTCTGATCTGTTCTCGTCGTGCCGCTCGGAGGATTTT